CCCCCACCCCCCGCCGCCGCTTGCTCCTAAGCCGCAGCCTCAGACCTAGTCACTGCCTCGCACACATTCTAATCCTGGCTGTTGGTATCTTTGTTGGAGACTCAGGATGGGTCAGGGATTGTTCTTGAGCAGGAGAAACATGAGCCCACAGGGAACTACCACGCATCCTGGGGCCACTGTTCCAGGAGAGGATGGGAACTAGTCACCGGCGGCCCTGGCTAGCAGGGCCTTTCCCCGGTACCTTGGGGTCCAGGGCTGCTGCACTCAGCCCACTGGGCGCCCTCTGTAGACCCTTGGTCTGGAATGGGAGCGCTGGTGCAGGCCTGCCATGTCCTGGGCTTTGCTCCTGGAGTGGCTTCTCTACCCAGCTAGCTGGCTCACGGTCTCCCTCTGTCTCTCTCCTAGCAGAATGCAGAACTGGAGTCCCGAAATCTCTCCCTGGGGGGCCATGTGGGCTTCGACAGCCTCCCCGACCAGCTGGTCAGCAAGTCGGTCACTCAGGGCTTCAGCTTCAACATCCTCTGTGTGGGTGAGTGTCCATGCCAGGCCCAGCAGCAGCCTCAGGCCACGGACAATGAGGGCCTTCCAGGAGATGGGGCATTGCTGCCCGGGCCCCTGAGAAGCAGCCGGGGGACTTGTCAGACCGAGCAGAACCTTGGGACGTCAGGTTTGGTCGGTGTCTCTGCCAGGGCCAAGGGCCAAGTTGGAGCCAGAGCCTGACTCACCATTACTGTGAGGATTAAACAGGACGAGGCATGTGACAGGACTTTGTGAAATGGGCGTTTATCAGAGAGGTTTAGATTCATTTGTTCACTCATTTGTTTTCCAAAAAGAATCACCCCTTCCTATGGTGTGACACGGCGGCCTTGGGTGGCGCCAGTGTTAAGCCATAGCGCTCAGCCACCGACGGAAAGGTAGGCACTTTGTTTCCGCCCAGCAGTGCCTCCACAGATAGGCCTGGCCATCTACTCCCCAAAGCTCACAGCCGTTGAAAGCCCTGTGAAGCACAGCTCTCTTCTGAAACACACAGGGTTTCCTAGAGTCAAGAATCAGCTCATTACAGACTTGGGGGGGTGGGTGGGGGAGAGCGATAAGTCAGTAACACTTTGGTAAGCTAGGCACTGCTCCTTAAAGAGAGGGTGCCACCCTTCATCTCAATACCATGGAGTCAGGCCTGCGCTGACAGCTGGCCCAATGGAGCCCAGGACTTGGAGACTGGAAGGCCCCGGGACTCCCAGGACATCTGAAGGATGTCTGCCAGGCTGTGGGTGCCCTGCCCTTTGATGCTTCTTGGGGCCTGGGCCATCCTGGTTTGGAAGAGGGTGCCACAGCTGCCCGGCTGTGCCCCTCCCTGTGGGAGGGATGACTGCAGAGCAGGAGGGATAAGGAAGCCTGTCTTGCTGGTGGCCTGTGGGGTCCCTGCTCCAGCCTCTGATACCCACCTCTGTCCGCTCACTCCTGCGGCTCAGGGGAGACTGGCATTGGCAAGTCCACGCTGATGAACACGCTCTTCAACACCACATTCGAGACGGAGGAGGCCAGCCACCATGAGGAGTGTGTGCGCCTGCGGCCCCAGACATACAACCTCCAGGAGAGCAACGTGCAGCTCAAGCTGACCATCGTGGACGCTGTGGGCTTCGGGGATCAGATCAATAAGGACGAGAGGCAAGAGGCGGGAAGGGCGGCCCCACCCAGAGAAACCCCTCCCTGTTCCACCACCTGTGCCTGGTGACAGTGCCTGAGCTCCAACCTCTATGCCGACTGCTTTCTCCTTGGGGCGGCGGGTCAGAGAAACCCCTCCGCAGCCCCTGCCCACCCTGCCCAGCCACCCGCCTCCGAGGTGATGGATCTTTCTGTAGTTACAGGCCCATCGTCGACTACATTGATGCGCAGTTTGAAAACTATCTGCAAGAGGAGCTGAAGATCCGGCGCTCCCTCTTCGACTACCATGACACCAGGATCCACGTCTGCCTCTACTTCATCACCCCCACGGGCCACTCCCTCAAGTCCCTGGACCTGGTGACCATGAAGAAGCTGGACAGCAAGGTCTCTGGGCTCACAGCCCTCCCTTCTGGGGCTCCAGGCTGCTCTGTTCCCCCTTTCCTTCTGTCCCATCCCTCTGGGTTTGCCCCAAGGCCGAGAGCGAGATGGAGAGCGGGATAAACTGCAGCATGGGAATGCAAAAGTAGAGCGGTCACAGTAAGGGAGGGGTGGGGGAGGCAGCAGCTTCATGGGGAAAGCCAGAAGGGTTGGGGGCCCGGAGTCCCTGTTGGTGCCCTTGTGACTGCCCTGCTCATCTTGGGAGTTCATTTTGATTGTGAAAACGGGAGCAACCTGGGCTGGGCAGATTTTGAGGCTGTCCTGTGCCCACTGCTGATAAGGTGGTCTTCCCAAACTCAGCCCGCTGCTTTGGTCACGCCCTGGCCAGCTGAGACCTGCAGAGCATGCCGGTGTTCCCAAGGGGACAGAGGGGCTGGGTAGTGGCTTGGGGCAAATCCAAGGCTGTAGGAAGCCCTGCAAACAAACAAGAAACACTGCCATTGAGTCGATTGCGGGAGTAGAACTGCTCTCATGGGTTTCCGAGACTGTAACTCTTTACGGGAGTAGAAAGCCAAGTCGTTCTCCCAAGGAGCGGCTGGTGGATTCAAACTGCTGACTCTGCAAGTTAGCAGCCCAGTTGAGTAACCACTCCACCACCGGGGTCCCTACATCAATCATTAAAATCTGGAGAATGGTCTCTGGTGGATGGGTCAAGGCCAGAGCTTCTCAGATGCCTGGCAGAGTGCACTGTCCAGAGTTGAGACACAACCTTTGCTGAAAGACAGCTCTCTAACCTGTCGCCCCTGCTCCCCGCTCCTGGCAGGTGAACATCATCCCCATCATTGCCAAGGCGGACACCATCTCCAAGAGCGAGCTCCACAAGTTCAAGATCAAGATCATGGGCGAGCTCGTCAGCAACGGGGTCCAGATCTACCAGTTTCCCACCGACGATGAGGCTGTGGCAGAGATCAATGCGGTCATGAATGTGAGCACTGGGCCAGGGACCAGGGTCCTACACAGGTCACCCATGACCCCAAGAGATTCCAGCCTCAGCCTCTCTGGGGCAGAGAATGGGCATCTGGAAGCAGGCTAGGCCTGCAGCTGGGGGCCAGGCCTGGGAGCCCCTGGAGGTGGTATCTGCCCTGAGGCTTGTGTTTCTCATGAAGGCGTCTAGGGTGGGAACCTGGAACTACAGGAGGGAGCAGGCATGCTGCCAGGGCTTGGGAACTGGGAAGGGAGCCCCGCCCCCACATTTCCAGAGGGAGCTTTGGGAGGGAGTTTTGGTTGGCCAAAAGGGAGTAGGGACCCCAGGAGGAAGTCTGAGGGAGGGTCCAGCACACCCTGCTGTTTGTAGGTTTTAGGACCCTTCCCTGAAAGGCAGCCAGGAAGTAAGTCCTTGGTCTGCCCCTTCGAGGACCCAGGGCCAATGATGGGTCTGTCCACGAGCCTGTGCGCCTACTTGGTGCTGATGCCGTCTCGGGCCTTTTGCAGGCACACCTGCCCTTTGCTGTGGTGGGTAGCACCGAGGAGGTGAAGGTGGGGAACAAGCTGGTCCGAGCACGGCAGTACCCTTGGGGAGTGGTGCAGGGTGAGTGCGGCGGGCCCTGGGCTTAGTCCCCTGCCTTGCCTGGGTCCCTTCCTCCAGCACCCTGCCCTGGGCGCCCCCAGCCCCTCCCACGTGCCTGCCTGGGGTCCCACTCGCCCCGTGCCCGGCTGACACCTGCGCTCGCTCCCTCTGCGCTCAGTGGAGAACGAGAATCACTGCGACTTTGTGAAGCTAAGGGAGATGCTGATCCGGGTGAACATGGAGGATCTCCGGGAGCAGACCCACAGCCGGCACTACGAGCTCTACCGGCGCTGCAAGCTGGAGGAGATGGGCTTCCAGGACAGCGAAGGCGACAGCCAGCCCTTTAGGTGAGTGGGGCTTCCTCCAGGCCAGAGGCATCAGGATCCTCCCAGTGAACCCCGCTCCACGTAATTCCCCATGGCCTCTTTCCTCTGGGTCCCCACAGCCTACAGGAGACCTACGAGGCCAAGAGGAAAGAGTTCCTGAGCGAGCTGCAGAAGAAAGAGGAGGAGATGCGGCAGATGTTCGTCAACAAAGTGAAGGAGACGGAGCTGGAGTTGAAGGAGAAGGAAAGGGAGGTGAGCTCAGGGTCCGGGGGCGTGTGGCGCGTGTGGGAGACCAGAGAGGGCGGTGGCGGGGTGAGGGGGCGTGGCGAGGAGCGAGGGCAGGGCCTGGCTGGGAGAGAGGGCTGCCGAAGCCTTCCCCCAAAGTCCTCCCCGCAAGCTCCCCTGCCTTGCACTCCCAGCTCCACGAGAAGTTTGAGCACCTGAAGCGGGTGCACCAGGAGGAGAAGCGCAGGGTGGAGGAGAAGCGGCAGGAGCTGGAGGAGGAGACCAGCGCCTTTACCCGCAGGAAGGCGGCCGTGGAGGCCCTGCAGTCGCAGGCCTTCCACGCCACCTCGCAGCAGCCTCTGCGGAAAGACAAAGACAAGAAGAAGTAGGTGCCGGCCCCTCCCCTGCGCCTGCGCCCACCCCTGCCCACTCTGCTGGTTGCCCATCTTCCGCTGCCTTTTCACTTGCCACTCCTCTCTCTCTGGCTCACCTTTCTTTTTCCCTCCTCCGCTTTCACATTCTCTGTTGCACAGGTGGCCTGCTCTTACCCCCCACCCCGCCCTCGCTCTTGCCTTCTCTCTCCCTGGGTTTTCCTGCAGCCTCCCCTCCTGGCGCCTGCCCTCTGCAATGTTGGTGAAGGCTGGACCTTCCCAGCAGGGAGAGGCTGTGGCCATGGAGGTAGTGGGGAAGGCGTTTAGGCCACTGGAGGGACAGTGCCTTCTCAGCGGAATTCCTGTGGTTCTGCTCCAACCGAACCTGCTGTGAGCACGCTGCTGCAGCTGCCTCTAAGGGTGTGGCTGGCCCAGCCTGGCTGCAGGTGGGGAGAAGGAGCTGGGAGCATGGTGCCCAGCCAGCGCTGACCCAGACACTCTGATCAATAACTACCCAGCTCTCTCTCGGTGGAGAGCACTTGGGACACCCGAAGGTCAGAGGTCTCTGCAGAGGCCCTGTGGGTCTGTCCCCACGTGTAGTGGGAGTAGCTGCTCACAAGTGTGGTCTCCAGGATGTCAGAGGCTTTTTCCTGGCATCAGAGAGTGTAGTTGACTTGTTGACCAGGTGGGGGCAGCCCTGAGTCACTTGTCCTTGGTCTTTTTAATGGACTGTTTCCACATGACGGAGAAAGAAAGCTTTTTACTCCTGTGAGGAGTTAACAGTCTTGGAAACCCACAGGGACAGCTCTACTAGGCTCTATACAGTCCCTGGGAGTCAGAATTGACTCGATGGCTGTGAATTTGTTCTTTTTGGTTTCCACAAGCTTAGCTCTGCCCTGGCTCCCAGGGATTCTCCCCCTTCTACCACATGTTTCCCCCACACGTGTGCACACGGGCTTGTTTCTTCTCTCTCAGCATGCACACAGGCTCAGGCACACCTAACCCTCAAAAGCATAGGCACAAGCTGACTAAGAGTGAAACTGGGGAAGGTCAAAGGCACGGAAGGAAGCATTTGAGGGTTGGGGTGCAGATTCGTAAGGCCCCTTCTCTGCTCTGGAACAAGATCCTTCACCTTCCTGTAGCTCCACACACCCCTCCCCCCTGCCCCTACCCTGCTGCCACAGACCCTGAGCTGCCCAAGGGTTCCCCACCCCCACCCCACCCCACCTCTCAGCCAAGTAAATGTCCCCTGTGCTTCCCATTTGCTTCCAGCCCTGCCCTTGGCTTGGTGGGGGTGGGGACTCTGAGCTGAGACTTGTGCGGCTCAGACATCTGGCTTCTCCTTGGGAGAAGAGCCAGGGGAGCCCGTGACCCCAATAACCATGTCCTGTCCCCTGCCATTTTGACCCAGGTCATCTGGTCAAAGAAAAAACAAGTAGGGCTCTCTAGGAAAGCAGCTGTGGAGACGCCACTAAGGCAGGCACTTAGGACAAGGTCAAAGCCAGCAGGCTAACCAGAGTGCCCCAGACTCCACACCAGCTCTGCTGGCTTGCAGGCGTGTCTCTGGGGTGGGGGACTCGCCCCTGCTGCCTGGTCCCTCTGCTTTTCCCGTGGGGCCTGGGTTCCTTGGTATGTTTTCCAGGCCTGGGCCTAGAAAGCAGCTCTTTTCTGTTGCGGGATGCGGCAGCAAGCGTCAGTCAGGTTAGCCTCTGAGAAAAGTTTCTTCTGTGCTCGCCTTGCAGAGGCCGAGTGAGACTGAGTGGGTTGGTGGGTGGGGGTGTCAGGTCCACCTCTTCCTCCTGCCCTGGTCAGGGGACGGGAGTGCCTTTCACGCCTTCAGAGTTGAATGGCTTTGGTAGGTTGGACTTTTCCTTCAAATGTTAATCCATTTTCTGCAAAATTACTTCCCAACCAGATCTTGACCCTCAGCCTGGGACGCCACACACACTGCAGCGAGTCCTCTGGTTTGCTGGTCACAAATGCCAAACTGACTGCCCCTACCCCGTGCCCGCCTGTGCTGTCTCTTTTGCTTCTGTTTGATTTGGTCTGCGTATCTTTTAACATGTCTGGTTTTTTTGTTTGTTTGTTCGTTTGTTTGGTTTTTATTTTTCAGTTAACGCACCCACAGACTTTACATGTCAAGAGTGGACTTTAGCCTTTCATGTGTTAAGTTGCGTGAATCACACCTTGTGACCCTTCACCCATAACATGGTGTGAGGACGGACTGGGAGCTGGTACAGACTCCAGTGTTTACAGCCTTGCTTCACCTGACCCCCGATCCTGGCCCAGCTGCCCCCGGGCCTGGCGGGCCACCATCTCTATGCAAACACGGAAAAGCCATGAAAGCTGGAGCCCAAACTGACGAGGTTTATTTTTTGCAGAGCCAGTGGCTGGTCTTCCATTTACAGTGTCACTATTCCATGATGGAGCAGTCATGGGCCCCGCTGGCCGGCCAACGCCAGGCCTGTTTGTCCAGCGTCAAGATGGCAACCTGTGGGTGCCCTCGGTGCAGCCGCTGGGCCCAGTCCACATGCCGCAGCGTCTACCCGGCTGCCCTCTGGTTTATGTTTTTTCTAACCAAGTGCTTCATTTCAATAACCTCTTTTTTAAAGACAAAACAAACTTCCTAAATTTTTATTTTGGCGATGAGCATAAAGATGAATTGTTCCCTCTACCGTTATTTTCCTACGTTAACACTGTCTTCCTGGTTTTCACAAACTAAAAACCCCTCTAAACGGTTCTGATGTGTACCAAGGTGCCTCTCCGTAGAGGAGAGGCGAGGAATAAACGTCCATGACCGTGTTTGGAATTTCTTTGCGGATGGAAGTGGACCACCGGCACAACAGGGGCCCAGTGTTGCCACTGTGCATGTAAATGGAACAGCAGCCTAAAGCCCTGTGGCCCTGGGGGCTCCCTGTGCACACAGCAGCACCTCAAAGCTGTGCTAAATGTATGACTGCAGCTAAGTAAGCCCCACATGCAGAATGCTCAGAAGGGTTTTATTCCATGGGCATTGATTGCTTCCTTCTATGACCAAGCCCTGGGGCCTGAAGACGCTTGCTGTGCCTGGTTGGTTGAAGGAACAAAAGAGAGACCCCAAGAGCAGCTAAAGTGCTTCCCCCCACCCCTTGCCACCCTACCCCCAAAGAGTGCTAGCCCAGTGACGGTTTTCTCCACCAGCCACTGGGAGTTGGGTTGAAGACAGTTGTAAAAAGGGAGGCTGAACTGAGCAGAAGAGAAGGAAGCCCCTGTGTTTCATGTTGATGAAGCCGTGTGCTGCGCACTGGGGCTACTTAGCGTCTCGCCCGGCTCCTGCCCTTCAAGCGCTCACAGGCCAGTGTTCTGAGCTGGACGCCTTAGGAAGCCATGCTAAATTATGATTGGACTCACGGCTCATTTTTTCAAGCCCCCAGTCTCCACTGCCCCCCCTCACCACCGTGACCTGCTTGACGTGCACAACCACGGGCTCCCTTCCTCCTGCCCCTCTGAGATGGTGGGACTGAGGGTGACGGTGCCCGGAAAGAGGGGCCCCGACACCAGGCCTGGAGCCAGCTTCATTAATGTGTGAAATGAACGTTCACCAAGTGCCATGCCAGGGACAGACCCAGGTTTCCTTCTCTGAAAAGACTGTCGAAGTAACCTTCGGTACAGGACCTTGTCAGGGGCCCTGAGGATGGAGCCTCAGGAGCGTGACAGCCATGGCTGAAAGCCAGTGCTTCAGTGTTGCCATCTCAAAAGCCCCCCACCCCCACCCCGGCACTGTCTAAGTAGATAGCAGGTGGCACAGAGGTCAGCCTTAGGCTGCACACCACATGGTGGTTGTAAACTACCAGCCGCTCCTCGCTCCTCAGGAGAATGAAGAGGCAGCTTCCTTAAGATGACAGCCGTGGGAATCCCATGGGGCAGTTGCCCCGTTCCGTAGGGTCTCTCTGAGCCAGAATCGATCTGTTAGCACCCGACAAGGCAGTTAGGGACCGTGGGAGACTTGTCTTCAGGATACTGATACGTCTTTAAGTGTATTCCCTTGGGTCTCCATGTGGCCTTTGAGATCACCTCTCTCTACCAATGTATTTCTGCAGGTGAGGTCCACTGTTATGTAGGAGGGCCAGCCAGCTCTTGACTGAGCCTGTCCCCCACTGCCTGCAGGCAGCACCCAGGGCACCCTGGAAGGCCACTGTTGTGCCTGCCTGTGATCCCAGGGTTTCTCCATTTGTGGGGGGACTGCGCTTCCTGTGCTTCAGCGAGCTTCCCTGCCCCCACCCCTGCCTGCCCCCCATCCCCACCCTCTATTTGTCTTTGGGATTTTTTTTCAACTGAGACCAAATTACTCCGTGGTGCATAAGGCAAGCTTAAGGCTTACCATTATCTAACAAGCCCCCCTTGTGGACTGGACCCTTCTTTCTCAAGGAGCTCTGGGGGTTGAAGCCTTGGCTGCTAACCAAGAGGTCAGCAGTGTGGACCCCCAGCTGCTGTGCAGGAGGAGGATGTGGCAGTTTGCCCCCGGGCGGGTTCTTCGCTGCCCTGTGGGGGTGCTGCAAGTCCAGACAGGGGGCTTGTATGCGTGTCTCTTTCTCAGTGCCTCCGCTGGCATCATGAGGGCATCTAGGGGGATCGTGTTGGCATCTGCCATCATGGCTTCCAGGAGCCACATTGACTTTGTGTAGACTTACCGTGTAATTCCTGTCAAACGGAGGCACTTCTGAGAATGACTGACTCATTACGTCAGGTCAGCAGGTGTACCCTGGGACTCTCCCTGGCAAACCAGCATGTATGGCCAGGCCAGGTGTGGGCAGCCCAAATCTCCATGGTCGCACTTGTATGACCACTGCTGTGTGTGCGTGCGTGTAGGTTTCCTGTTCAGTGGGGCTCACATGACTGGATAAGAGGCCCCAGGAAAGTGTGGCTTGCTGGTCTGTTACATTAATGTGCTTTTCTAAAAACAGCTTCATTTGTTAATTCATTTACTCCATTCATTGACTGTTTTTGTTCCTTTCCATTTACTTTGTAGTCTTTTTTTTCTCCCCCTCCCCCCATTAAATTTTGCATTTATTTTGAGTTTTTCGTGGTGTCTTTTTTTGGGCAGCAGCTTTCCTTCCTGATTTAACAAGGTCTCCCAAGCTGACTAATATGTTATCCTTTCCTGGGAGCTTTGTAGTGTTCATTAGATCAGCTCTTGCAGGCATGGCATTTGAATAATTCATTCTGCTGTGGGCATCTGGGGGTAGGGTGGGGGCTTTGGATGGGTGTGGGGTGGAAGGTAGTCACAGGAAAGAGAAGATGCCACTGTGGTCCCTGAGCCTTTATTGGGCAGATGAGGTGCTGCGCAGCACATGCGTGAAGGAGCACCCTACGCTTTACAGCCGTCGCTTAGAGGTCTCACATAAAGCAATGGCTATTAAACTGCTCATCAGGCGCCTGGCACTGCTCTGAAGTACACCCCCCCCCACCCCCGCACTAACCCTTCTAATGCTCATGAGCCCTTGGGTAGATGACATTATTCTCTCCCATTTCATAGGCCAAGCACCCAAAGACCATCTGGCTAGTAACTGGAAGGGTGCAGTTGGACTGTGGGCTGCTGGGCAGACAGAAGGAGGCTTTAGGGGGAGGTCCAGTGGGCAGGCTGCTTGAGGTGGAAGGCGGTGATGACAGACTCTTGAGCTCCTCTGTTGGGGACCCTTCTCTGTGGGGCCTTAGGCTAGAACATAGGGTCTGAGACGGGTGATGGCCACTGTGAAGGTAGGAAAGGCAGGTGGCAGGGAAGCCAAGTTGTCACCAGGCTGTGAGGGCTCCAGGAAGCCAGAGGGAGAAGGGTCTCGATGGAGGGCCTTGCTGTTTGGACAAAGCTCACCTGCCCTGTAAACCACCCCACCCCACCCCCCAGTCCCAGCCCGCCTGCCCTTCCTGGGGTGGCAGAGCTACTGTTCACCTTGCACCTACCGCCACAGACCTCCACCAAGCCCTGCTGTGTGTGTGTGTGTGTGTGTGTGTGTGTGTGTGTGTGGGGTCACAGCACGAGGGGTTGCGTCCAGATTTCCCCCACCATGAGCCCCAGCCTCTAGACTGAGGTGGCTTTTGACTTCCCAATCTCAGGAAGAACAGGAAAGGAAAGGGGGAAAGCGGAGGGCAGAGAACTGAGAGGGTCAGTGGTGGCAGGGCAGTAGGGGCTGGGAGGGAGCTGGGCTGCAAGGCAGACTGGAGCAGCACCAGGGATGGCTTGTTTCAAACTCAGTGGGGGCTCCAGCAGTAAAGGAGCTTGCTCCCAAGAGGAGAGTTAACCAGAGCCACGTCAGGCTGGCCGGGAACACAGTTTCACCTTTGTTCCCCGAAAGAGTGAGAGTTGGATCAACTGTGGGAACAAGCTGTGCTTAAACCTGGAGTTACCTGGTTAGAGGCCCGGTGCCTCTTGGCAACTCCCAAAGCCCAATCCTTTGGTGTGGGCCCTTGAGATGAGCCTCTAACCTTCCACTCCATGACCCACTTAGAGTGGTGGGAGGAGGAGGCAGAGGGCAATGGTGCCCACTATGGGCGAGGTGGCATGAAGCAGATGCTGCCCCTTCAGCAGCTCTTAAGATGGGAACTGGACAAGAGGACTCTAATTAGCAGAACCCAGGCGATGATCTTCCAAGTACAGTTGACTCCAGCAAGTCTAACTGCACTTTGTACCATATGTGTGAGATGAGAATCAGACAGGCTTGAAAGCAATGAGTGTTGACTTGTACAAACGCTAGAGCAAACACGTTTGTTTCCAGAGGAGGAGGGGTTGGTCTGTGATCACTCTGCAGCGCCCAGCAGCTCCCACCCCTCCCTCATGGCTTTGCACGTTCACACACACAGTGAGTGCAGCTCAGGCATGCACATCTCAGTCCCAGCACTGCTTAGATAGCCCCAGCTGGGGGCCGCTGAGTAGAGAACAGCTCTGTGTGGTACCAGAGCTTCAGAGGGGCAGCTGGCTTCCCCCGCCATGCCGGGCCCCTCCTGCTGCAGCACAGTGCTGGGAGCAAGCTGGATCTCAGGACCTGCTCATCCCAACCCCAAGCTTTCACAGCGGCCCCTCACCCGGTGTTATTCTGTAAGACCCATCCTTGACAAACATCCCCCTGAGCAAGCAAATAAATGACTTCACTGAAGCCTAATAAGGGGAAATATGCTTAAATTGGCTCAGCTTACTCAACCTTAAACGGTGTGTTGTAGAATCCAGCCCTTGGGAAGAGGAGCTATAAGTTTTGGCCACGTCAGGATAACAGGGCCCGGAGAGGGGCCTGTTTTCAAGTGGTGGGCAGGGCCGTTGGGCCACTGCACACGTATCTGGTACAAGCCTGAGAAACTGTGAGAACCTGGCCAGGGCAGCAAGGACTGGTGGGTCAGAACCAGCCCTGACCCTTCAGCCCTGATTGAGGGCAACCTTCTGGCCTCGTAGAGAGTCCTGGTGGCATAGAGGTTAGGTGTTATGTTGCTAACTCCAAGGTGAGCAGTTCAGAACCACCAGTTACTCCATGGGAGAAAGACAAGGCTTTCTACTCCCATAAAGAGTTACAGTCTTGGAAACCCATGGGGGTCATTCTACCCTGCCCTATATTGTCACTATGAATCAGATTTGACTTGATGGCCTTGATTTGGGTTTTGAATCTGGCCTGGTAGCCCAGTGCTCTCAGCCACCAATGCACCAAGCGTTGCTGGGGAGGAAGCAAAAACAAGGTTCCCCTGAGCCTCCAGCTTCCGACTTTCAGGCCCAAGGGTGAAAAACAGAGGCAGAGTGTGACTTGGGAGGCTTCGGACCAGTCTTAGCTCTAGTGATCCTTCCTGACTTGCTTTTATTTCCCTAATTCTCCAAAGGATTCCACGTAGAGCACTTTCTCCGTGGCTCAGATAAGTATTCCAATCAGCGAAAGAACTCAGTCTGACCAAGGAGGAAGGCTGCTGTGCTTTTCCGCTGGAGGGCAGCGGGGGCAGACAGAGGCCGGGCTGGCCAACAGGTGAAACAGAAAGCGGTCTTTGCAGCATAATGATCAAATGTCAGTGCAGTGGCAAGTTCCTGGCAGTGACTGACCTGGGCAATGCTGGCCTGTCATTAAAACGGAGTGGCCAGTCTTGAACCCAGTGCAACTAAAGGAATAAGCAGTTGAGTGTCAGAATGAAGCAACCTCAGGTTTACAAGCATTAACTTTACAAGCATTAACTGTGCCGTCTCAGGGACATCCATTTTCAACCTCCATAAAAGCGCCATCTGCCTAACTATGCCTTCCATCTTAACCTGCCCATCCCCAGGCCTTCGGACACCCCCTTCCCCATCCCTGTGTTCGTTGTGCCCCAGTGTCTGGCACTATACCCTCATCCAGAGGGTGGTGGCATTGGCAGGTGCCATCAAGTGGGCCCCAGTGTATAGCAATCCTATGCACAGCAGAAAAAAAGGCTGCCCGGTCCTGTGCCGTCTTCACAATGAGTGCTATGCTGGAGCCTGCGGTGGCAGCTGTGGTGCCCATCCATCTCATTGTGGGGCTTCCTCTCTTTCTCTACCCAACGTTACCAAGCATGATGCCCTTCTCCGGGGACTGGTCTCCCATACAGAGTTTGGCAAGTTTGGAATTCACACTTGCCAACATGAAGCTCAGTGTCTCACTGTCAGAGGAAAGCCACCACCGGTCGGCTGCAGGGAACAAGAATCCCATCTCCCAAGCCAAAAGGGCATGGCCAATAGTTAAGTCAGACTCTTTTTTCCAGAATCATCGTAGCCAGAACATCTCTGGTACCTACAATGGCTGAGAGGACTCTGGGTGCCCTGTGGGGATGCGGAGGCACAGCTCTGAGAGCCTGGTCTGGGGCAAAGTTGATGTCTGCCTGTGTTTCTTTAGCAGATCAGATGTAGGAGGAGTGAACCAATCAGGCACGAGCCTATCCAACTCTAAGGTGATGATGACCAAGGCCAGTGTGGAGCCCTTGAACTGCAGCAGCTGGTGGCCCGCCATCCAGTGCTGCAGCTGCCTGGTCAGGGACACGACGTGGCGGGAAGGATTCCTCTGAGGCAGCAGCTCCATCACGCGGGGCCGCCCAGTACCACCAGGCTGTAGAACTGGAGATCGTGGTTTTTAATGTTAGAACAGAAAACCCCGTCCTTTTCATATGTCCGTGACCAAAAGTGCAAACGATGCCAGCCTCCTTCGGGAAGCATCAGATGCTTGGTCCTCAGAATGAAAAAGCCCAGCCCTTTTCATTCCCACGCACAGCCCGACAACAGGGCCTGGGGTTTAATGCCCCTTCGATGGCCAAGCTGAGCTCGAATCTCAGAGGAGAAGGTCAGTCTGCTCTGTTGCATGGTCACCGGGACCCGAAAGTACTGTGATGACAATGTTTCAGAAGTGACTTCAAGATCCAGGCAGCAGAAAAGCTGCCCGCATCTGCTTGACACGAGAAGTGGCCCAGCCCTTGGCAATCGCGGCCAGGTTTCATAATGAAACAGCCCTCAGCGATTTAATCTTCATGCTTCATAACAGACCCAAACCCCATGGCATCGCCACATTGCATAATTTTGCCTTACTAACAGAATCATATCCTTACAGAGGACCACCATTCCCCTAACGAAAACCAGAGACTCACGTGTGATATATATTTTTAAGTGCCAGATCGATATGGTCTAAAGCCTCAAGGAAAGGGTTGTGTGTGGGTGAATAAAGACAGCTAAGTGAATGTGTGTAAAGTGTTGCAAACGCAGAGAGCTTTTTATGTACAGCAGTCAGACTAGAAAGTGAACTATTTTTGCAGTGTGTATTTAAAAGAGAAACTCTCACCGGACTAGTGCCGTCGGAAACACCTTTGTAAAGTTAATTTCATGTCCTTTCCAAGTGGGAGTCTGGTGGAACTGTGTTGGCTTGGGGTCTGTGTATGATACATTTTCATTCTTGCGTATGTCATGAGCCCTGTGGGTGACCTCACTGTGGTGCATGTGTGGGGACTTGCGCATGCCCGTGCTTTGCCGTCCTATGTCGTGAACAGCTGTTCAAAGGCACAATCGAGTCTCAGGTAGACTCTGCAAGCCCCTCATCCTCACTCTAGTCCTGCAG